TAAAATCTCCAACTGTGATGTTTCTTGAAGCCGTATTATTAGGCAAACAAATTTAGGATTGTTATATCTCACCTTTTAATGGACTCTTGAAGCACTTCGCGGTGCCTGTCTCCGTATATGCAGTGATGTTCTTCCTTCAAGTGTGTTTTTGGTCTTAACATCACCACACCAGCTTGCTTTCCTTTAGAGTTTCTGTGGTATATTCTGATCCATCCTTTCCTACCAGCCTTACCACGTTCTTATATTTAAAGTGTGTCTCTAGTTGTTGTTAAATCTAGTCTGACATTTTAGATTTCTTAGACTATTGAGTCCATTTATGTTTACTGGTATAATTGGGCTTAAGCCTGCAGTCCTAGTTCATGTCTTTATGTACCATTTCTTCTTTCTTCTCTTATTCCTCTTTTCACAACTCATTTTGGATTTCTAAATTATTACATTCTCTTGCCTCTGTTAGCTTTTAGTTATATAGCCTTTTAAAAAATTATTAGCCTTTTAGGGGTAACAATACAGAGTTCTGTTAGGGTGGAGCTGGAGAGACGAGTGGATGCTGGCAGTGTGATGTTCAAAGACGTGGGAGCTGTATGAGAGCTTTTTGCTCATGAGTGTAAATAAACCAGCGGTGTGTGCTTGTGGCTGAATCCTGGGGCCCCGTGAGGTGTAGAAGTGATGAAGATGAGGATTGAGCAGTGGGGACTGGTTGGGGAGGAGTCTGTGAGGATGGAATAAAATTGAGAGATGGTGATGTTCTGCAGGCCAAGAATTTCAAGAAGTAAAGGGACCTCAGACACATACATCAAGATAGAAACATAAAGTTGACATTTTACCCTTGACGTCTTAGAAACAGGAAGAGCTAAGACCTACCAGTCAAACCCACTTTTGAAAGAACAAGCAGAAAGCTTAACTGTCAACAACAGAACAAGTGAAGGGTTGCCAGGAGCTGGGAAATACGAGGTGAAGATGTGTGCAGAGCTGCCGCGTCTGAAGGCGGGACCTCAAATTGTTGAACCTCATCTTACAGAAGAGCAGGAAGGACCTCTAGGATGTGGCAGGTCTCCGTGCGGGGTTTCTGTGTGAGGAGCAGAGGGGTGGAGTAGAAAGAGGACTCGCGCACACAAGCTGTGTTGGAAAGATGCAGGCCATCTGTGAAGTAGTAGGAAGTGCAAAAGACTTTGATGCTTGAAAAAAACCAAAGAATTCTCTCGGTTGGTTGGAGATCATAGTAAAGATTGAGGAGCGCATGCAGTGCCCTTGTTAAGAAATATAATACAAGATGTATTCAGAGTTATTACGAGAACCAGGAAAAGACAGGGCAAGCAAGTGGCAGGTGAAAAATAATTCACTTGAAAAATGTTATCATATAATGTCTGACTATTGTTACTAGTTTTTAATATAAATTAACAACGAAATAATGGCTTCTGGTGTACAAGAACATAAAATAGGCAAATAATTGGTTTTGAAAGAGATAGTAAGACCACAGGAAGATGTATTATGAGCCGTTATATCATAGGAAATAATTCTTTGTTATTATATCAGAGGAAATAATTCTGTGTTGTTATGTCAGAAGAAATAACTGGAAAACAAAATCATTGCAGTAATCAAAATACAATTTGAGAAGACAACAGAGGTAGAACAGATATTGCAGGGGTGCCTGGCCGGCTCAGTTGGTGGAGCAGGAGACACATGATCGCAAGGTTATAAGTTAAGCCCCATGTTGGGTGTAAACATTACAGAAAAATAAAATCTAAAAAAAACCCAGAAAACCCAAAAAATAATATTACGGAAAATATAGTAGGAAACATGGAGATTGTAAATGAGAAACCTATACAGAAAGCAAAGGGTATGGAAAGAGAGCCTGACATTGAGTAATGGCTTCTTGTGTTCATTACATATGTTTTATAATTTTTATCCCAAATTTCCTTTGCCAAGAGCAGCTTATGAGTACTTCAGCATACTCCTCCTTCCATGTCTGCCTGTCATGAAATTAATTCCTGGTCATATAATCCTGGTGATTATGGTTTTCAGAGACTGCTCTTCCTGTTAGGATTTTGATCCTCCAAAGAGGAAGATCTTGGTTTCACTCCTTAAAAATCTGGTATTACACATTAATGATTTTGCTTGACCAAGGAGCCGCATAGAGCCAGATTTTCATAATAATGCAGAAAGCCATTACCACAAATTCTTTAAAAACTTACATACCAGGTCGTCAAGCATTAGATTGTGATTTGTTCTGTATACGTTGACATAGAGACTGAAAAATCGTGTCTGTTATCATCCTTGTTTCTTCTTAACAGAAGTAACACATGCTTCTTTTAAAAGGTACCATGTAATGTGAAATCCAGCCCCGTGTAATCCCCCTCAGATGAACAGGACACTTTTTATGAGGCTTATTTGGATTTGTTAATTTAAATATTTATTTTGATTATAAACTAATATTAATTATTAATGTCATAAATATTAAATATATTATTCTACACATGCTTTTTAGATGTGTTTCATTAGCATTTTACTATATTTACTGTTTTTTTTCAGAAGCATTTTTTTTAGGTTTATTTATTTATTTATTTTGATGGAGAGCATAAGTAGGAGAGGGGCAGAGAGGGAGAAAGAGAATCCCAAACGGGCTCTGCACTGTCGGGGACTCACACTCACAAACCATGAGATCATGATCTGAACCAAAGTCGGACACTGTATCGACCAAGCCACCCAGGCACCCCAGAAGTATTTTTAAAAGTACAGACGTTAAACACCACTAAATCTTTCAGTATGATGCCTAAAATTTGTGTTTGGTAAGGTTCTCCAGTTAATTCTGATTAAAAACCATTTATTAAATACCATTGACTTAAAATCTGTTCAGAGTGTTGAAAGAAAATCATAGGTAGAGTTAATGCTGCCAGAAACATAGCTAAATGAAAATGAGAGCCGCATGGAATATTTAAAAATTCAGTGTTTGGGGTTCCTGGGTGGCTCAGTCAGTTGGGTGTCCGACTCTTGATTTTGGCTCAGGTCATCTCAGTCATGGGGATTGAGCCCCATGTCAGGCTCTGCAGTGATGTCACAGAGCCTGCTTAGGATTTTTTCTCTCCCTTTCTCTCTATCCCTCCCCTTCTCACACACACATGAATAAACATAAAAAAATTCAGTGTTTAACAAAGACATTTGTGTTATAGCAGCATAGTTCATGTTTGTGTTAAAGTAAATTACACAAACAGATTTTTTTAACTTTTTATTTTAATCACCCAGTGCTCATCACGAGTGCACTACTTAATCCTCACCCCCTATTTTACCTATCCCCTCCTAGCCCCATCTCTCCTCTGGTGACCACAGTTTGTTCTCTATAGTTAAGAATCTGTTTCTTGGTTTTTCTCTCCTTTTTTCCTCCCCTTTGCTTATGTGTTGTGTTTATTAAATTCCACATATAAGTGAAATCATAAAAGTATTTGTCTTTCTGTGGCTTATTTGATTTACTGTTATATTCTCTAGCTCCATCCATGTTGTTGCAAATGAGACAATTTTATTCTGTTTTATGGCTAAGTAATATTCCATTATATATTTACACATACCACATCCTCTTTATCCATTTATCTATCAATGGACACTTGGGCTGCTTTCATATCTTGGCTATTGTAAATAATGCTGCTATAAACATTGGGTGCATGTATCCCTTTAAATTAGTATTTTTGTATACTTTGGGTGGATACCCAGTACTGTGATTGCTGGATCATAAGGTAGTTCTATTGTTAACTCTTTTGAGGAGTCTTCATACTGTTTTCCACAGTGGTTGTACCAGGTGCATTCCTTTTTCTCCACATCCTCACCAGCACCTGTTGCTTTGTGTGTTTTTTATTTTAGGTATTCTGACAGATGTGAGGTGATATCCCATTGTGGTTTTGATTTGCATTTCCCTGATGATGAGTGGTGTTGAACATCTTTTCATGTCTGTTGACCATCTCTCTGTATGTTTTCTTTGGAGAGGAATGTTTGTTTATGTTTTATTTATGTTTGTTTTTTTTTTTTTTAACAAATGCAGCTGAAAATTATGGGGGTATTTGGGAAGACAACTTTTTAAAAACATTATTGGAATATAAGCTAACAGTGAAAGAACATGAGTATAAGATTATGAGTGAGAATGAGCAATTTTTAAGGGACAAACAGCTGGGCTTACCAGAGTAAATTATATTCATTCCAGGTTTATAAATTAACAGCTTGATTCTAAGCCGAATCTGGATATAATTGATATGTTCGCTTCAATGTGATACCATTTTAAAAAATATTGTCAGTTCTTAGGTTATTGGACTCAATAGTATTAGTATGGATTTTGCATAGTATCATATGATATATTGTTACAAATATAGTATTATAGATAGCAGAGGAGTAAAGGCAGGCATACATAATCAAAAAAATACTAAAGTAAAGGTAAATGACAGTTTTAGGACCAGGTTTAGATTAGTAGTTTTTCATGTTATGCATAGATGTAGAAGTGTAAGTGTGTGTGTGTGTGTGTGTGTGTGTGTGTGTGTGTGTATGCAGTATTGAAGATTAATGTTAAATCAGGTGAGATTTGGTTGGGGGAAAGCCAGAAAACATTGGAAGAGGGTTTGATGGTTCACTTTTGAACAACTCTGATGGAATAAAGGAAAATACCTATAAATCAGAAAAGAGCTGTAAATGTGATCCTGTGGCAAGGATGGCTTGACCACTCATTGATTTTGCTATTTTGTTGTCTGTTTTTATTCCTAAAGATTTAGAGATAGTAACAGAATTAGATATTAGAGATTGGGTATAGTACTGTTTTCTTTTGAAGTAGAGTTCTTAGAAATTTGATTTGTTGCTGATGTGTAGAATGGAAGAGAGAGATGAGACTGGAAATGTGTATACTTTTGTCATAATCTAGATGTGAGAAGATAATGAACTAAACTTATCCACTCCCCAAAACCTAACTAATTCTGTTTCTCCTAATTTTCATTTTTAACTAATCTTCCTTCTCACTCTTTATATTTCAGAATTAATTAATAGTAGTAGAAACTATTCAAGAAAGAAGTTTAATGAATCTAACAAAAGTAGAAATTGGTTCCATAATGATAAGCATGAAGAAATTTATTCTGAAGAGAAACTTTATAAATATAATAAAAATGGGAATGACCTCCATCTTAATGAAGATTTTGTTCATCATCAGAAAATTCAAATTTTGGAGCAACCTTTTGAATACAGTGAATGTAGGAAAGCTTTCCATGAGAATTCACTCTTTGTTGTACATAAGAAAACTTACACAGGAAAGAGCTCCTGTGAACACACTGATTATGGGAAGATCTTCTGTGACATGTCATCCCTCATGGCTCGTCATAGAACACATGCAAGAGAGAATCATTATGGATTTAATGAATATGGAGAAAATTTATTTGAGGAATCCATTCTGTTTGAGCAGCAGAGCGTTCAGCCTTTCAGCCAGAAGTCAAACCTCATTCCAATTCAGAGAACCCACTCAGTTGACAGTGTAATTGAATATAATGAATGTGGAACATTTTTCAGTGAAAAGTTAGTCTTTGGTGTACAACAGAGAGCACACACAGGAGAAAAACCTTATGAATGTCATGAATGTGGAAAAACCTTCAACCAGAAGTCAGCCCACACAAGACATCAGAGAACACACACAGGGGAAAAATCTTGTGAATGTCATGAATGTGGGAAAACTTTCTACAAGAATTCAGATCTCATTAAACACCAGAGAATTCACACAGGGGAGAAACCTTTTGAATGTCAAGAGTGTGGGAAATCCTTCAGTGAAAAGTCAACCCTCACTCAACATCGAAGAACACACACAGGGGAGAAACCGTATGAATGTCAGGAATGTGGGAAATCTTTCTCATTTAAGTCAGTCCTTACTGTACATAAGAAAACACACACAGGGGAGAAGCCCTATGAGTGTTATGAATGTAGGAAAGCCTTTCTTAGAAAATCAGACCTCATTAAACATCAAAGAACTCACACAGGGGAGAAACCTTATGAATGTAATGAATGTGGGAAATCCTTCTCTGAGAAGTCAACCCTTACCAAACATCTGAGAACTCACACAGGTGAGAAACCCTATGAATGTACTGAATGTGGGAAATTTTTCTGCTATTACTCGGGTTTCACAGAACACCAGAGAAGACACACAGGGGAGAAACCTTTTGGTTGTAATGAATGTGGGAAAAACTTCCGTCAGAAGTCAGCCCTAATTGTCCATCAGAGAACTCACATAAGACAGAAACCCTATGAATGTAATGAATGTGGGAAATCATTCTGTGTAAAGTCAAAACTCATTGCACACCATAGAACACACACAGGGGAAAAACCCTATGAATGTAACATATGTGGAAAATCATTTTATGTGAAGTCAAAACTCACTGTACATCAACGAACACATTTGGGGAGAAACCCTATAAATGTAATAAATGAGGGAAACCACTCTGGGAGAAGTCAAGAATTTATAGAAAAAGAATGCAAAAAGGGAGAAAAATCTGTTGTAATGATTTTGAAAACATATTAGGTCTAAAATCATCTCTCACAATACAGCAGAGAACTTACAGAAAGGAGATAATAATAGGAAGCTATTGAATATAGAAAGTTTTGTGACGGAATTTGAACAATAGAATATATCAGAAATCTCGGAGTGGAGAAAACCTTATCAGTAAATCAGCCAGAGCCACACCTCACAACTTAGAAACCTCTGTCAACATTCATAGGGTAGGAAATACTTTATCCACAGGCTATAGAAAATGCACAGATTGTAGGAAATTATAGGAAAGCATTGTGGTATTTTATTAGATGTGTGTAGCATCTCAGTGGATATCAGAAGTTACTAGAGAAAATAAATTATTTTAAGTGTGTGGGAGCTTTAAGTTAAAATCTAAGCTTACATCAGAGATTTTGAATTGAAGGGCCTCTAGCAATTTAAGGTGGAGAATGTTTCTCATTTAGAAATAGCTTTATCCTTTTGTTAAGATGCAATTTGGCCCATTGCCGGGCCTGTTGTTCCCCACTGTTTAAGGTATTAGATGTGAAAACACACCACACTGAGACTGGCAGTTGGAAGCAAGTCAGAGGCTCATGCATATGCTGTCCTCCACCAATAAAGGGACTAAGCCTCTGGAGTGATGGCTGATTTCAAGTAAGAGATGGGGAGAAATACAAGATGAATCTGAATAATCTTACCTACCAGACAGTAAAAAAATGTTCAAAGAATCGTGGAGACAAAAGAACCACCTTGGTCAAGTTTCTCTGGCCAGATTTGAGACAGTTTGGACATAGTATCAGAATTATTAATTCCCATTAATAAAGTGGGAATCCATTAATTTATAGTGATATAAGTAAATTAGTAAATTCATGGAGGAGAAGGGAAAACTTTTGCAGAAACCAGTTAAAAAGGGAGAATAATGGAATAGAAAAACACCATTGGGCAGCCATCAGAGTGGCGGTTGTTTCAGGAGGTAGTTGTCAGCATAGACTAGAGTCTATGGGTAGAGCTTTGATGAAGAACAGGATATTGGCATAATCTTCCAAGTATCTACTCATAAAATACCCATCAGTTGCAGAGGTGAAAGGGTGATTTTGTGATTCATTTTGGCAGACACTGGCATGGTGAGGCTGTCAACATTCACCTCACCAGTGGAGTAGGGCAGGTCAACATGATACATATCCTGATGAGGTACAGTGAGAAGAGCCGGCATCATTTCTGTGGTATTTTTGCCAAGAAAGCATGACCTGTAGGATGCCTGGGTGGGTTGGTCGGTTAAGTATCCAACTCTTGATCTCAGCTCAGGTCTTGATCTCAGGGTCATGAGTTTAAACTTGGTGTTGGTCTCCACACTGGGTGTGGAGTCTACTAAAAAAAAAAAAAAAGCTTGACCTGTGTTTATTTAGGCGGAAACATCAGGTGAACCCGTGTGAAAGGTTATTTTACTGAATGCGAAGCCTATAGCCTTTAATTCTGTCAAAGATATGAAAAAGACTGAGAGACTATTCCAGATTAGAGGTGACTGGAGATAATTTTAAAATAAAAATGAAGACCAGACATTGGTAGAACAGTTGGCAAAATTCAGTGTATGGAGTGGATGGTCATGTTTATCAATGTTTATTTCCTGATGTGGATGATTGCTGGGTGGTTCTATAGGGTAGTGCCTTTTGGGGAAATACACGCTGGAATATGTAGGGGTAATGGAGCCTCATGGCTGCAGCTATTTTATTTTTTGTAATGTTAATTTTTGAGAAAGAGACCGAGCACAAGTTGGGGAGGGGCAGAGATAGAGAGACACACACACAGAATCTGAAGCAGGTTCCAGGCTGTGAGCTGTCAGCAGAGCCTGACGCAGGGCTCGAACCCATGGACTGTGAGATCATGACCTGAGCCAAAGTTGATGCTTAACCAACTGAGCCACCCAGGTTCCCCTGCAGCTTAGTTTTAAGTGCTTTAGACAAAGGCTAATAATTGTGTGTGTGTGTGTGTGTGTGTGTGTGTGTGTGTGTAGTGCAAGGGACAGATGGAAGAGATGCAGTGCAGTTAAGAGAATCTGATTGAGGAGGATATGGGAGTTTTTGTATTATGCTTGTGACTTTTCTAAGTGTGAAATCATTTCAGAATAAATATTGACAAGTTTAAAGTAGTTGATGTAACCTATCACATATGTAGAAAAAATAAGTGAAGCCACTTGATTATTTCAATAGATGCAGAAAACATATTTGATAAAAGCTTTACACCCATTCATGGTTAAAAAACAACAAAACTAGGGACAGAAGGAAAGTTTGTCAAACACAAAAGTAAACCAATATACAGCAAACATCATACTAAGTAAATATTAAAACCTCTCTTCTTGATATTAATGGCTTGAGAATGCTTGTTAGCACCTCTGTTTCACATACGACTGAAGGCTCTAGCTTATCAGTAAGGCAAAAAGGAAGAAAGTTTAAGGCATAAAACTTGGAAGGTTGAAATGCCAACTCATTGGTGTGTGGTATCATTGCATGGAGAAGTGAAAAAACTTATGGAGAAGTTACTAGAAATGGTGAATTAGGAAACTCATTGTATAAAAAACTACAAATAGAAAACAAGTGATAGCAGGACAGTTGGATCCACACAAGATAGGGCAACAGAGACCAGATCTACTTGCCTGCCGGAAAAACAAAACAAAACAAACAGGTAAAAAGGAAACCATTAAAATACAGGAAATAATTGTTTTCATGACAGTGGATATCAGGCAGTAAAGGGCAGTGATCCCTGCAGGTGATGGGTAGGTTCACTATATTGTGCTGATGGTTATTCAGCTATATTTATCAAATTATATTAAGATGTACACTTAAACTTTTTTTAAAAAATACTGTTTTTGAGAGAAAAAAACAGAGAGCAAGCTGGGGAGGGGCAGAGAGAGAGCGACCCACACACAGAATCTGAAGCAGGTTCCAGGCTCTGAGCTGTCAGCACTGAGCCTGACAACAGGGCTCAAACTCAGAGACCACAAGATCGTGACCTGAGCTGAAGTCAGCCGCTTAACCAACTAAGCCACCCAGGCGCCCTGTCAAGATGTACACTTTAAATATTGTTACATTCCTGTTTACAGTATTCCAAAAACAGTAAGTTCTAGAAATCCAAACTGCACCACCACCGAATTAAGGGATGTTAAAGACCAAAGTAAGTGAAAGGATATACTTAACTGTTTTGATGACTTTGAAGGCTCATTTTCCCCAAAACTTGAGTGGTAGATTAAGTGCAACCCTAATCACCATCTAGCAGCAGGTTTTGTTATTGGAAATTAGCAAATCTGAATTTAAAATGTATATGCAGGGGCACCTCGGCGGCTCAGTCAGTTAAGCATCTGACTCTTGATTTGGCTGTGGTCATAATCTCATGGGCGTGAGATCAAGCCCCACGTTGCACTCTGCATTGGGTGTGGAGTCTGCTTAAGATTCTCTCTCCCTTTCCCTCTGCCGCTCCCCAGCTCATGCTCTTTCTCTGTCTCTGCCTCAAATGTATATGCAGATGGAATGACTATAGCTAAGACAATCTGAAAATAGAAAAATAAATCTGCAGGACTTAGATTCTGGATATCAAGAATGTGGTGTCGGCACAAGGATAAACAATGTCCAGAAATAGGCCCCGATATCTTAATATATGACAAAGGTGACACTTTAATATTGTGGTAAAAAGATGGTGATTTTGATAAATGGTGGGTTAATTGTGTGTGTAAAGAAACATTTTGACTGTAGCCACCCACCATACACAAAACCTTGTTCAGTATGGATTGTATATCTAAATGTGAAAGTAATGATTTTAGAAGAAAATATAGGTGAGCCTCATGACTTTGACTAAGACACCTTAAACACGAAACAAAAAACTGTAGATACACTATATGTTAATTAACTTGGATTTAAATTTTAAAAATCCCAAAGATGAATTTGACATTAGAATTAAAAAGTGCTGTTTGTTCAAGAACAAAAGCCAAAAATAGCATGAGTTAAAAGCCAGACACAACCTGGGAGGAGATAATTGTGATGCATATATCAAACCAAGGACTCTTATAAGGCATATATAAAGAACTCCAACAAATCAATAAGGAAAGGAAAAGTGAGCAGCAGATTGAACATAATTCACAGAATATATCTACATGACCAATAAATGTGGAAAGTTGCTCAATTTCACTAGTCATCAAGGAAAAGCAGGTCATATGAAAATATAATTACCACTACACACCAGAATGGTTAAGGTGGTAAAAAGAGAATACCAACCAATGATGAAGATATGAAGCAGCTGGGACTAATACAAGTTTGGTGGGACTAATAAATTGTACACTTTGGGAATTAGGCTCTTTCTGGCAAAGCTAAACATACATGTACATTTTGGCTGTGTAATTCTAGTTCTAGACATATATCCAACAGAAATACATGTCTCCTGAAAGAATATTCATAGAACTAGTATTCTGAGTAGAAGTAGAAACTGCACACCTGGCCACCAACACTAAAATTAATACATAAACTGTGCCCTTCATTCAGTGCTATACAGCACTAAGAATGAATGAGCCACAATTACATGCATGCAAAGAACACAGAAGAGTAAGTACTCTGTACATTTTTTTCATTAGGGAAGCTGGCAAATCTGATGTATGGTGTTAGACGTTGGGAGGGTGGTTGCCTGGATGGAAGCAGCTTGCAGAGTTCATGTAAGGGGCATCCTTGGTGCTCTTTGTGTTCTTGTCTCGGTGTTGATTGTAGGTGTATTCAATCTACAGAAGTAGATTGCAGATTTTTATTCGTATATATATTCATGCTTGAGTATGACTGTTCCTTAACAAAAGCAGAAAGTCTGCTTAGATTCCTCCTCCTTAGATTCCTCCAACAGCTTCCCATCTCGCTTAAAAACACACAACACAAGGTGACTACTTAGGAGGACATCAGTAAGCAGGTGTGTGTAGTAAGTGCTCATATAGGTGAGTGTACTACAGAAAGTATTTTGTTCCCTTCTCAGTGTGGTAAATAACAAAGGTACTCCATATTAAAAGCTGATAACCAGTTTCTCTGTCTTATTCAATAAACATGTTAAGTGAAATAATATTCCACAGTTTTACCATATCTTATACATGTTCTCTCTCAGTTTCCTGGCATATAAAAGTGGATTCAGCCAGTGTTTTGTATTAATTCTTCAATAAAGAATTCAGACATTGTGTTTATGAAGTTTTTACCTGCCTCAGGACCCACCAGTGGGTATGCTGAAAATACTAATTACACAAAATAAACAATATCAGTTAAAGAAAGCAGATATTAACAGTACTACTTGAGTTAAACACCGTTCTGCTTTCCATTATATGAAGAAAATATCCAGCTGAAACATTGAGATGAGGAATCCACTTAGGGATGAGTTGCATAGCCCAAGCATAACCAACTATCTACATTTGTGTTGTGATGTTGTATATACATATTTTGTCTTATTCCTTTCTTCCCAGTATAGGGGGTGCTGTAGGACTAGATACCAGATTGCCTGGGCTCATATGATGTCTGGCCCTATCACTAGATTTGAGACAAATTACCATCTTCTGTACTCAGACTCTCATCTGTAAAATGGGGACATTAGTAGAGGCTACTTCATAGGGGCTATTTAATATGAGCTGTGTATGTGTTAGCTGTTATTTCTTAAATTAACTTTCAAGCAATTGATAGGTTCTTACAGACTATACCAACACTCATTTTTCCCTTGAGGGCAGAGCCTTAACATATGTTAATTTCTCACCTTAGCCTTGAAAGGTTCAGAGGTAAAGAACGAGGGGTGCCTGGGTGGCTCAGTCAGTTAAGAGTCTGACTGCAGCTCAGGTCATGATCTCATAGCTCGTGGGTTTGAGCCCTGTGTCAAGCTCTGTGCTGACAGCTAGCCCAGAGCCTGGAGCCTGCTTCAGAATCTGTATCTCCCTCTCTCTCTGACCCTCCCCTGCTCACGCTGTCTCTCTCTCTCTCAGAAATAAATAAAAACATTTTAAAAAAAGAAAACAAATTTATATATATAAAAAAAAAAACAGAGGTAAAGAACAATTGGATTAAACTGGTCATGAAAGATACTCCCCTCTGAGATTTGTTTGGGATTGGCCTGTGTTCTAGTTCTCATCAGAGTTGTTTGCAGAAGTGTTTTTGAAAACTGGGAAAGGTTGCTTTCTTGTTCAGCTGAAATGAACTGGACTTGACACTTAGTTCTTTCTTACAGCTCGCAGAGGTAGGTGGTGGTCTGAGGATGGTGGAGCAGAGAGTGAAGGGTTCGTGAGGATGTTACTGAGTTGCCTATTCTGTTCTACAGTGAGAACGGATGCAGGTTGTATTCAGCAGTAGGCAGAGCAATGAAGTAGCTTCCCTGCCCAGGCAGGGCCACACAACAGGCCTCAAGGCTGGCACATCTTGTTTGAGGAACTAGTCAGAAAGAATTGTGCTCCAGGTTCCCTGGCCATAAGGGGCCAATGTCCTCACTCAACAGATATGCAGTGCTGCTGGCCATGAGCTTCACTCAAGTGCTGTTTTGTTTGGCAGCTTCCCAGGTGCTCAGGTCAGGCTTTTTCATCAGGTCGAGTGGGCATCTACACTCAATAGTGGGTGGGGCTTTAAATTAACTCCCCTGACTGGGTGGAAAATGGAACCAGCTCCAAGCCCTGCAAGACGTGTGTGTGGGGGGGGGGCGGGGGGGGGGGTCTTAGGCTTGTTCTTTGGTGGTGCATAATTAACTACAGTAGTTTAAAAAACAAAAACTTAGTAAAAATAACCATGAATACAATAACCTTTTATTCAGTCTACAATATAAAAATATATAAACTGTAACTGATAATAAAAATGTGTGAGAGGAGAAGTAAAAATGTAAAGCTTAGGAATGCTGTTGAATTTAAGTTACCAGTTTGCTTTTTTTATTTTTTATTTTTTTTAATGTTTTATTTATTTCTAGGAGAGAGAGAGAGAGAGACAGCGCGAGCAGGGGAGGGTCAGAGAGAGAGGGAGTCACAGACTGAAACAGGCTCCAGGCTCTGAGCCGGCAGTCAGCACAGAGCCCGACGCGGGGCTCGAACCCACGAACCGCGAGATCATGACCTAAGCGAAAGTCAGACGCTTAACTGACTAAGCCACCCAGGCGCCCCTTAAGTTACCAGTTTAAAATAGACATAATTTTAGTATATTTTATATAAGTTTCATGGTAACTACAAGGGAAAAAGCTATTTACACAAAGGAACGTGATAGAGAAGTCAAAGCATACTCACCCGAAGACATTAAAACACAAATTGATAAGAAGCAAGGAACAATGGAGCTATAAAACAGAAAACAATGAACAAAGTGGCAATTGTAAGTCCTTATCTATCAATAATTAAAGTAAAGGGATTATAATCTTCAAAGACCTAGAAAGGTTGAATGGATAAACCAATAAAATCCCATGATATGCTGTCCACAAGAGACTCTAGCATTAAGACGCATACAGACTGAGAGTGAAGGAATGGAAAAAATATTTCATGCAAATGGTAACCAAAAATAGCAGAGGTAACTATCCTAATATCAGACAAAGTTGACTTTAAAAATAGTAAAATTTCATTATATGACAGTAAAATTGTCAATCCATCAAGAAGATATAATGTTTGTATATATTTATGTACCCAACATTAAACAACTAAGTATATAGGGTAAAATTAGCAAAGCTAAAAGGAAAGACAAGCAGTAATGCAATCATATTTGGGGACTTTAATACCCCTCTCTCAAAAGGGATACATTATTCAGACATAGAATCAACCAGGAAATACCAGGTTTGAACATTACTGTAGACCAAATGGACCTAATGGACATCAGAACATCATACAGAACATCAGAATACATGTTCTTCTCAAGCATGCATGAGCACTTTCTAAGGGAGACCATATGTTCACAAAACAAGTCCTAGCAAATTCAAGAAGATTGAAGTCATACCAAGTATCCTTTCTGACCACAAAAATATGAAATTAAAAAAACAGTAACGGGAGGGTAACTGAAAAACTCATGGACACATGGAAATTAAACGACATTCCCTCAAAAACCAGTGTATCAAATAATAAATGGATAAAATAGTATCTTGAGACAAATGAAAATGGAAAGACATTGGGGCGCCTGGGTGGCTTAGTCGGTTAAGCGTCCGACTTTCGCTTAGGTCATGATCTCGCGGTTTGTGGGTTCGAGCCCCGCGTCGGGCTCTGTGCTGACTGTCTGCTCAGAGCCTGGAGCCTGTTTCAGTCTGTGACTCCCTCTCTCTCTGACCCTCCCCTGCTCACGCTGTCTCTCTCTGTCTCCTAGAAATAAATAAAAAAACATTAAAAAAAAAAAAAAGAAAATGGAAAGACAACATACCAAGACATACTGAAATGTAGCAATATCTTCCCTTCTCAAACTATTCCCTAAAACAGAAGAGGAAGGAGTACTTCCTGATTCATTCTATGAGGCCAGCATTACCCTGATACCAAAGCCAGAAAAGGACACTACAACAACAACAAAAAAAACTATAGGCCAACATTTCTGATGAATATAGATGCAAAAATTCTCAATAACATACCAACAACCATAATTCAGAAGCACATTAAAAGGATCTTTTACCATGTTCAAGTGGGATTTATCCTTGGAATGCAAGGATGGTTCAGTATATGCAAATCAATAAAGGTGATACAACACAGTAAAAGAAAAAAAATCATGATTGTATCAATAGATGCAGAAAAAGCATTTGACAAAATTTAACATCTGTTCGTGATAAAAATTCATGACAAACTAATTATGGAAGGAACATATCTTAACATAGTAAAAACTGTATATGACAATCCCACAGCTAATATGCTCATTGGTGAAGGTCTGAAACTTTTCATTTATGATCAGAAAGACAGGGGTGTCCCCTGTCACCACTGATACTCAACATGGTACTGGAAGAGCAGTTAGGCAAGGTAAAGAAATAAAAGGGATCAGAATAGGATTGGAAGAGGTAAAATTGTCTATATTTGCAGATGACATTATTTTTATATAATGAAAATCCTAGAGACTCCACCAAAATATTGTTAGACCTAAGTAATGATTTCAGGAAAGTTGCAGGACACAAAATTTAGCAGCATTTTCATACACTAAAAACAAATTTTCAGAAATAAAACTCTGCCACTCATGGTAACATCAAGAACAGGAAAAGACTTAGGAATATTTTTAACCAAAGAGATGAGAGATGTCTTCACTGAAAACTACAAGATATTGATGAAAGAAATTGAAGAAGACACAAATAAGTGGAATGACATTCCGTATTTATGGATACAAGAATTAATATTTTTGAAATCTCTATACTTAACCAAAGCCATCTATAAATGCAGCGCAACTCTTATCAAGGTTCCAGTGGATGGGGCGCCTGGGTGGTTTCAGTCAGTTAAGTGTCAGACTTTGGTTCAGGTCATAATCTTACCATTCGTGACTTCAGGCCCCTGTGTTAGGCTCTTTGCTGACAGCTCAGAGCCGGGAGCCTGCTTCAGATTCTGTGTCTCCCTCGCTCTCTGCCCCTCCCCCACTCACATTTTCTCTCTTTCTCTCTCAAAAATAGATAATAAACCATTAATTTTTTAAAGATTCCAGTGGATTTTTTTACAGAAGTAGAAAAAAAAATCCTAAATTTATATGGAGCAACTTAAAGATGCTGAATAGCAAAAGCAATCCTGTGAGAGGTTCACACTTCCTGATTTTAAACTGTGTTATAAAGCTAAGGTGGTCAAAACAGTATGGTACTGGCATAAAACACACATAGATCTATAGAAATAAGTTAAGACCCCAGAAATAAACCCATGCATATATAGTCAACTAATATTTGACAAAGGAACCAAGAATGCTCAATGGAGAAAAGACAGTGTCTTCAATAAATGGTGCTGGGAAAACTGGACATTCACAAGTGAAAGAATGAAACCTGACCCTTATTACACCCCTCATAAAAATGAGCTCAAAATGGATTAAAGACTTAGATGTAAGACCAGAAACCATGAAATTCCTAAAGGGAAACATAGATAAAAAATTCCTTGACACGGGTCTCGGTGATGATTATTTTAAAAATAATGCCCTAAAGCACAAGCAGCAAAAAATAAGTAGGACTGTCTTGAACTAAGAAGGTCTGCACAGCAAAAGAAATGATCAACAAAAGGAAAAAACAATCTTATCAAATGGGGAAAAATCTGTAAACCATGTATCTGATGAAGGGTTAATATCTGGAAGATGAAAGAACTCATTCAACAGAAAAAAAAATGATTTTATTTAGAAATGGACAAAGGATCCGAACAAACATTTTTTCAAAGAAGATATTCACATGGCTAACAGGTACGTGAAAAGGTGCTCAACATCGCCAATCACTAGAGAGATGCAAATGAGAAGCACAATGAGGAATCTTTTGCTTATTAGAGTGATGGTCATGAATAAGAAGACAAAAATGCTGGCAAGGGTGTTGAGAAAAGGGAAACTCTTGTATTCCTTGTAGGGTTGTAACCTGGTGCAGCCACTGTGGAAATTAGTATGAAGTCTTCTCAAAAGATTAAAAATGCAACTACCGCATGATCAGGTAAATTCCACTTCCGGGAATACATCTGAAGGAAACAAAATATCAAAGAGACATCTGCACCCCCATGTCCATTCCAGCATTATCTACAATAGCTAAGACATGGAAATAACTGAAGTGTTTACCGACAGATGAATGCAAAGAGAAGATGTGGTACACACACATACCCCTCCTCCCAGAGTGGAATATTTATCCACAAAAGGAAGGAAATCCTGCCATTTGTGACACCATAGATGGACTTTGAAGGCATAATGCTAAGTGAAATAAGTGAGATAGAGAAATACAAATGCTGTGTGATGTCACTTAAATGTGGAATTTGAAAAACATGCAAAGAAACAAAAACAAAAAAGACTCCTAGCAAAAGAATTCAGGTATGTGGTTACCTGAGGTGGTAGGTAGGGCATGAGAGAATTGGATGAAGGTTATCAAAATGTATAACCTTTAAGTTATAAATAAATACCGTAATGTACAATATGATGACTCTAATTAGTTCTGCTCTATGGTAGATATGAAAATTGTTAAGAGAGTAGGTCCTAAGATTTCCCATCACAAGGAAATTTTTTTTTTCTTTTTGTATCTACTTGAGATGATGGATGTTAAATAAACTTACTGTTATAATCATTCCATAATACATGTGTCAAGCTATGCTGCACACCTTGAACTTACGTGGTTCTGTGTATCAGTTATAT